GAGCCCCTCTGCCAGCAACAGCCTGGAAGGAGACCCGAGGCCGAAGTAAAAACCACCACAGCATACCAGCGCGAGGAACAGCCGGCCCCGAGAACCACCATTTTCCAGAGACCCGCGCTATCATCGGGCATTGCACGACTTAAAAGGCTTAAAAATGAAGTCAAAACCCGCTTCAATTCTCCACAGCGAACTGCTCCCAGAACTAGAAGTCACATAGATGTCACAGGCGGTGCTCCCAGAGAAGCAGGAAAGCCAGGAGGCACGGAGTAATCATCTTAAAGCTAAATTTAGCATTTGCGTACCTGCATCATCCTTCTTAAGTTTATTTATGTTGTCCCGGTTCTACTATTCTTTCATTCAGTAATGCCAGCAGAGTAGTACAAACTAATCCTATTCACGAGAGAGGTCACATATAAGAATAAGGAGTTCCTCGCAGCCGCCTTCCCGGCCCCACATCCACGTCCCACAAGGGCACAGCTCTCATCTTGCCCTTCGGATATCTGGGGAAGCTGCGCAGGATAGCGCCTAACAGGCTTGAAAATTAAAGGGAGTTTAAAAAAAACAAAAAAACAAAAAAACCACCAAACCAAAAACAAACAAACAAAAAAAAAACCAAACCAAAAGCAACCCTGGCCTGTATTGACTTTCAAATTTAATAGCAAATACATTAGAAGCAACACGTTAAAACACAGGCATCAGGCCTCAGCTCCCCACGTCCTGACGGACAAACACCAGTAACCATAGGTAGTACGTATGCTGCAACTAACTGCTTGCTTTGTGGAGGTTCCTTGCTACACACAGTGGTACTCCTGGTGTTCAGTGATCAAGTGAGCCATTTGATAAACAACTCAAAGCACATCATCTGTACCCGAATCTGTATCAACTTCTGCCCTAGACTTGATCTAAATTCATGTTTTCTGAAGGGCTGGGCCTCAAAAATCAGTAATGTCTCCAATCACTCCTCATCACGGCAATTACTCGGGACATTAGAATTAACAAAACTGCGGCTGGACACAAGCTCGGGGCAATCTCCTAATCAGAAAAGGGCAGATGAGGTGTAAAAAGCGAGAAGTCCTATCTCTGCTAATGAGGGCCTTATGAAATCGCTCACTTAAGACAGCAAACTCACACGCCAGATCAGACGCAGCCCCGGAACGCCTGCTTGGCTGTTGCAGGACAGGCAGCAAACGTTTGTTACGTGTTCTCGTTTGTACATGTAAAAATAAAGTCATGGATGCATCCCAGGGTGATCGTTGGTGCTGCCATAATGCCAATTATTAAATGCCATCACTCCACTTATGACAGAAAAGTGGTATGAATCTCAGACTAAATTAACAATAAATAACATTGCCCTCTTCTAATCTGTGTATTAATATATCTTCATGAAGAAGAGATACAGATACGATCCTAAATCCAATTCCCGCTGAACTCATTAACCAGCCTCCATTAACTTCAGTGGGCTTTTAGCAAATTCCTTCATTTATTTTTAGATGCCTACAAGCCCAGTTGTAGAAAGAAAGCTGTCAGCTGCGTAAGCAGGGCTGCACGTTAATATGCATGTTCTGCTTTGCCCACCCTGTAAGAAAGCAAGGCGTAAGTCTCCCTTTATGGCTGAGAAAGCTCTGAGCTCGCAGATCATCTAGGAAATAGAAAACATGACCATGTACTGCCTTCATCCCCCAAATTGGGGAGCACCACTAATTTCCGATGTTCTTGCCTCAACACCACGTCGTCTGCCCGACAAGGACAGAGACTGAACACCGTATTTAAAGGTTGAGGTTTTGCTGTTGCTTTTGTTCAATATATATTATTTATGAAATAAAACGATCTGTAGATCTAAGGCAAATAATCATCTGAACTCCCTTTCCCCTTGCCGGCTCACGGATTTGTCTCCCTTCCTGCCTCCCACCATGACATTCAACATGCACTTCACTCGCAGTATGTTGTTTTGACTCACTTGCCCTCCCTTGCAGCACTAGAAGGGAGTCAAGATGACTAAAGCCTTACTCAAAACCTTCCAACCATCTCTTTAACACCTCATCAACAGACATTACACGGTATTAGACACCAACGCCTCCCGCAAAAGCTTACAATATTACATTCCTGGGAGCAGAGGCGAGAAAGGCTGCAGAATTCCTCATCCCTGCAAAGCCACCCTGGGTCTGCAGCGGGCTGGACGGGTTCATGCTCCCCCCTCAGAGACGCGACGAGGGACATTTGTTGGGAGTCCCCTCAAACGAAGGATCGCACGCTGCGGAAGCCTGCACGTCTCTGGAGCACCCCAGTCGTTCACTAACTGCATGAAGTAATAGAGAAAGACTCGAGATGGGTTACTGAGAAACGAGCAGGGCAAAATACGATGCAGCGCTAAACAAGTAGCTCACCAGCATCTTTGATCCTCAAATAAATTAACTGCCTGAAGTTGAAACATACGTGGTCATCAAAGACCTAAGAAGCACGCTTCACCTTTTGTAGTGTTTCAGTTCTTAACACACTGTTTCTCCCACTAAATAATTTCCTCTTGTCTCAATTTAATCATGCTAAGCCCTTGAAAAAAAGTGCTTTTCATCTTAAGCACGTAATGAGGTACGCTGCAGCACCGAATCGTTTTGTCTCTATGCAAGTCTGGTTCGGCGTATTTCTGTGTGAGAAAATTCTTTCACTTAAAAAAATTTATCTTTCAAGTACCTTGTCAGGGTATGCTCCCTTCAGAAGCCAACGTTAAAAGCCCTAGACAAGCATCTCCTGAACTTAAAATAAATTTTGTCTTTTGACTATGTTGCAAAGAAACCACACCAGAAACCCTATTAGAAAACAGCGATTTCTGTCACAGCACACTTTCATCTTGCACTGTAGACAGGCTCAGATCCTATGGACTTGAGCTACAGTTTTCAAACTACAACACAGAAGTACTGAAGAGGTAAAAAAAAATAAATTGTTAATTACTCAAGAAAAGACTACAGTAATTAGATTCTACATGACATCTGACTTGACATTTCACTTGGCCTCTAAAAATGCTCAACAAATAGCAAAGTACTAGTCTGCCTTAAAATCCATAAATTCAATGCTATTTGTGTATTGACAGCAACCCCCCCCCAGCATCACACTTACACAAAATGACTCCAAGCTGATAACCTAGAGAGGAAACTCCGGCTGCAGTTGACATCAAGGACTAAAGGATTATTTATTTCAATAGGCCATGATTTTTTTATCATCTCAGTAAAGGTGTAAGACAGGCTGGAGAAGCCACTCAATGATAATTATTTTTGAACAGATGAAGGACAAAAAGAAAAAAAATCACATTCAGATAGTCTAAAGAAAGATCACAGAACCTCAGCCAACTTCCTTTTCCAGCCCCAAACTTGTAGCTAGGATCCTGTTTTAACGAAACCAAGCCACTGGGTACATGGATTTTATTTCAAACTTATTTAATTTCTGGTTTGAATCCTGCAGATTTCAATTTACATACCTCTGCTAAATTGAAGAGCTTCCTACTACCAGATATTAATCTCTCAGTTTTCCTAAATGTGTGCTTTTCCTCCCCCGTAGTAAAGTTATTTGCATCTATAATTTGGTTTGCTACAAACTGGGCTTTAGTTCCATGAAAAACAGATAAAAGGGAGAGCTATGCAAGATGCTAGTGAAATGAAGTACTATATTTGTAAATTTTTTTTTTTTTTTTTGCCAGATGTGCAAGGATAACTAAATAAATATTCAGCGGAAAGAATACATACACCCTACTGGGGTTCTGGAAATAACCTGACAGAATCTCTAATCGCAATGCATACATAGAAGTACCACGCTGTGCGCTCTGCACAAGAGACAGAAGGCTGCATTTAAAAGCAAGAAGACAACCATGTAAGATCAAAAGACAAGGAGCGGTTCTCACTGGCTCCTTTGAGGATATCCTCTTTCTTTTACAAGCAACTAATTGCCAAGTCAACCCCAGTTGGTTTTAATGAGAATAATAATGATTCTACCAATTTTAATGCTGACAAAATAAAACATAAGGTTTGTATCAGGTACCTGGTCAAGTCTATAGACAAAGACAGAGATAATCCACTCCTTGGTGGTCAGAGAGAACTCTTCAAGGAAATATGAGCCATCTTATACCAATTTTGATGCTTGGAGAATGACATGTGGTATCTCCGTTCCCAAGATCACCCATAGATGACCATCTAGCAACACGGGTGGGTTGAAGGACCCTGTTCTACGCACATGCATTGAGTTTCAAAGTCTTCTCACAGAGTCAGGTGAGGTCTATCATAACTCAGAACCGGAAATTGCATCCAGATGCTACACCACCTAAATTT